ATTTATTCTGTCATTCAGTTAAAACTCCAAATTTTGAGTTTTTTCTGGGCCAGGCTGAGTGTGAGATGCTCATCCACAAACTTGAGCCATGAGACTTCATACCCATTTTACAGGTTGGAAGCTGAGGCCCATATAAAATAACTTGTCTGAGTCTCCAATTACTGAGGCCTTGTGACTCCAGCACTGGTACTTCTCCCACAGGCCTGGCTGCCACACCCCCTCACAGCACACACCTAGGCTTGCACTGCACATGTGATCCATATGCACCGATGTGTGTCCATGACGTCTGCATCCCAGCAACACACTTATAGATACAAACACCCACTGCACATACGTGCACACATGCATTTCCACAAGTCTGCATCTACCTACACATGTAACACACACACATAGACACACATATAACTAACATTAATATCACTGTGCACATATCTTTCATACAAGTGCACACACATCTACACAGATCCAGAACATGCAACACACCAGCCCTTCCTACACAAATTCACAGCTGCACACACAAGCCCCTAACCCTAGCCTCATGGCAGGCCTGGTGATAGGAGTAAAAGCATCCCAACCAGGGGCCTGAAGGATGAGCCACTTCTGGGAGAGGATTTGACCATATGCTCTGCCCCACCCTGGGATCAGGCACTAATCTACCCAACGCAATGTCTCAGCTCTGCTGCTGGAGGGGAACAGGGTGGACCGCCTCCCTCACCCTCATTCTGAAAATCCTCTGCCTACTACAATTGAGATCCTGCCTAGAGCCCTTGGCCTAGGGGGCTCACACATATCTCCACCTACTCCCCTCGCTGCTGTCCAGTCCTGGTACTAGGAGTTATGACAGGGTAAAGTAAAATGGCCCCCTCCCTCCTCAGAGGGAATTCCAGGCTTCAGACAGCCCTGCCTCCCCTCCCTCACTAAAGGGACAACATACCTAGGGGGTGGCAGGAGACCAGAGCAGGGACTGGGACCCAGGACATGCCATGCCCCACAGGACATGCTGTCCTCAACCCAGCACCACCTTGGCCTTGGCAAGCATCACTGCAGCCCCTGTGCCCCTGGACAATT